GGTCAGTCCTAGGACCAGTGCTGTTTCTGGTATTTGTGAACGACATGACGGAAGGAATAGACTCTGAGGTGTCCCTGTTTGCAGATGACGTAAAGTTGATGAGAAGAATTCACTCGATCGAAGACCAGGCAGAACTACAAAGGGATCTGGACAGGCTGCAAACCTGGTCCAGCAATTGGCTCCTGGAGCTCAATCCCACCAAGTGCAAAGTCATGAAGATTGGGGAAGGGCAAAGAAGACCGCAGACGGAGTACAGTCTAGGGGGCCAGAGACTACAAACCTCATTCAAGGAAAAAGATCTTGGGGTGAGTATAACACCAGGCACATCTCCTGAAGTGCACATCAACCAAATAACGGCTGCAGCATATGGGCGCCTAGCAAACCTCAGAACAGCATTCCGATATCTTAATAAGGAATCGTTCAGGACCCTGTACACCGTGTACGTTAGGCCCATATTGGAGTATGCGGCACCAGTTTGGTACCCACCCCTAGCCAAGCACGTAAAGAAACTAGAGAAAGTGCAAAGGTTTGCAACAAGACTTGTCCCAGAGCTAAGAGGTATGTCCTACGAGGAGAGGTTAAGGGAAATCAACCTGACGACACTAGAGGACAGGAGAGATAGGGGGGACATGATAACGACACACAAAATACTGAGAGGAATTGACAAGGTGGACAAAGAAAGGATGTTCCAGAGATTGGACACAGTAACAAGGGGGCACAGTTGGAAGTTGAAGACACAGATGAATCACAGGGATGTTAGGAAGTATTTCTTCAGCCACAGAGTAGTCAGCAAGTGGAATAGTTTGGGAAGCGATGTAGTGGAGGCGGGATCTATACATATTTTTAATCAGAGGTATGATAAAGCTCACGGTTCAGGGAGAGTGACCTAGTAGCGACCAGTGAAGAGGCGGGGGCAGGAGCTCGGACTCGACCCCTGCAACCTCAACTAGGTAAGTATAACTAGGTGAGTACACACAAACACACACACACACACACATATATAATATATATATATATATATATATATATATATATATATAATATATATATATATATATATATATGCATTATATATATATATATATATATATTATATATATATATTATATATATATATATATATATATATATAATATATATATATATATATATATATATATATATATATGTCGTGCCGAATATGTAAAACTGGTCAATTAGCAAGAACTCATTTAAAATTAAGTCCTTTCTAAAATTTTCTCTTATACGTTTAAAGATATATTTTTTTCATTAATGTTAATGTAAAAAAATTTAATTTTGCTCCAAAAGAATCTTAGAAAACTTACCTAACCTTATTATAACAAGAACAATTTATTTTAGCCTAACCCAACGAAATATATTTTAGATTTGTTCACAATAATTTTATACTAAACAAACACAGTGAAATATATTTTTTTTCGTTAGGTTCAGAATGATTTTGGCGAAATTATTGCATTCACAAATTTTCGCTTGTCCTATATGGCAAGATGAGCGTTGCTATTTAAGCCAAGATCGCAAGTTCTGCCTATTCGGCACGACATATATATATATATATATATATATATATATATATATATATATATATATATATATATATATATATAATGTTGTGCCGAATAGGCAGAACTTGCGATCTTGGCTTAAATAGCAACGCTCATCTTGCCATATAGGACAAGCGAAAATTTGTGTATGGAATAATTTCGCCAAAATCATTCTTAAACTAACGAAAAAAATATATTTCAGTGTGCTTGTTTAGTATTAAATTATTGTAAACAAATCTAAAATATATTTAGTTGGGTTAGGCTAAAATAAATTGTTCTTGTTATAATAAGGTTAGGTAAGTTTTCTAAGATTCTTTTAGTGCGAAATTATAAATTTTTATATTAACATTAATGAAAGAAATATATGTTTAGACGTATAAGAGAAAGTTTTAGAAAGGCCTTAATTTTAAATGAGTTCTTGCTAATTGACCAGTTTCACATATTCGCACGAATATATATATATATATATATATATATATATATATATATATAATGATATATATATTATATATAAGATGGGGTCCACCTCTGGTGTAAATGTGGGACCATAGCCTCGAGAAGTGGAAAAAAGGCTTCAAGTAAGAATATTTGGATTTCTTCCTGATGCCATTTGAATATTCCACTTTCCCTACCACCCTATCTTTAACACTATTTTTTTTTACCAATAGGAATATTTTATTACTATTGGCACAAAGATTTTAGAGATACATTGTTGATATAAAGAAGTGGCAATATATATACTATATCATAGTATTATATATAGATCATATAAATATATATATATAATTATATATATTATATATTACTAATAATAATATATTTATTATATATGACGTAGTATATATTTTATATATAGGTTGTAGGTTGGTAGACAGCAACTGCCCAGGGAGGTACTACCGTCCTGCCAAGTGAGGGTAAAACGAAAGCCTGTAATTGTTTTACATGATGGTAGGATTGCTGGTGTCCTTTTTTCTGTCTCATGAACATGCAAGATTTCAGGTATGTCTTGCTACTTCTGTTTACACTTAGGTCACACTATACATACATGTACAAGCACATATATACACACCCCTCTGGGTTTTCTTCTATTTTCTTTCTAGTTCTTATTCTTGTTTATTTCCTCTTATCTCCATGGGGAAGTGGAACAGAATTCTTCCTCCGTAAGCCATGCGTGTTGTAAGAGGCGACTAAAATGCCGGGAGCAAGGGGCTAGTAACCTCTTCTCCTGTATATATTACTAAATGTAAAAGGAGAAACTTTCGTTTTTCCTCTTGGGCCACCCCGCCTCGGTGGGATACGGCCGGTGTGTTGAAAGAAAGAATAATATATAATATTATATAATATATATATATATATATATATATATATATATATATATATATATATAATATAATATAATACATATACATATAATGTGTGTGTGTGTGTGTGTGTGTGTGTTGGCTTATGTGAGTTATTGTGCTAGCTAGTTCCTTTATGGGAGGGAATAATGTAGAGCTAGAATGTATTTCCTATATACAAACAGCCCACACGTAGTAGACTGAAACTTATGACGACGTTTCGGTCAGACTTGGACCATTAACTATTTACTGCTGCCTTTTTATTCTTTTAAATCTGTCAGTGGTGCCGCTAGCTGCAGAAGCTTTATTATCTTCTGAAGTAGGATGCTGCACCTGAGATCTCATGATTTCTTTTGCAGTTCTAGGTCTTGGCGTTTCTGAATCGCCTTACACTTATCAGGATTTAGACGAATGCCTTCAGGGTTCTCATGAAAACCTAGGAATTTAAAGCTCGTGGTTGTCAGTATACATTCCTTTACATTCACTTTAAAGCCTGCTTTATCCAGCAGTCTGAGTGTTTCCACAAGGTTGTCAACATGTTCTGCAACTGTCCCTAAATAGACTACTACACCATCCAGGTGTGCTAGTGAGTGCCAACCCAACACAGTGCTAAGGATGAAGTTCATAGCTCTCTGGAAGCTAAAAGGTGTAGTTTTTAACCTGTAGGATATTCGTTTAATTTTGTATTATCTGACAAGATTCGAAAATGTAGTCTTTTCCTTATCTTTTTCTGTCCTTACAAGTGCTTGTTCATACATGTGTATTTGCAGTGGTCGGGTCCTGGTACCTGGTTCTCCCACTTCTTCGACCGGCATTACTACTTTCTGGTCGTCCCTTGAGTACCTTCATACTTTATCTTAAAACTGTGTAGCCATGCATGTGTATAACCACGTCTCTGTGTCCCGGGACAAGTCTGGAAAGAGGACAGCGTGTGGTTAAATTCCAGGATAGGCGGACCGGACCGTAGCTTCAGAACGCGATTTGGAAAGCCTAACGGGAGGAGCCACTTCCCGTCGATACTTGGAAAGGAAAATGTGCAAGAGGCTGAATGGGCTAAGAGGGATTGAGTGTGCCGTGCTGGGAGAAATGATGTTGGGCTAGAGGAGGTGTGAGATATACAAGAGACATGTGGAAAGTGAAGGTAGTGTGATAAAAGTAGAGGCTTGATGTTAAGGACGGTGTTGATTGTACAGGGTGAGGTGAGTCTTGAAGGGTCTTGGCTGGGTCCTGGCAGCCCAGTGTAAGGTGAAGGTGTGAGGTTGTGGATGAGGACCAGGGGAGGGTGAAGAGGGAGGGGAAGAATCTGAGGTCTGAGCACGCTATGAATGGTGGAGAGAGAGGCTGGAGTCTTAGAAGGCTAGTGTCAAGGTTATGCACGAAAGTGAACCAAGTGTCAAAGGCGTACTGTAGCTGTCGCGGAAGTTCTCACGTGCACGGAAGGAAACACTTCTAATTTACTAATTTTGGTTAATTTTAGCGTCTGTAGGAGGCATGCATGCACGTCACTAAAACTTATTTAACTTCTCCTTCGATCACATACATTTTTCTACATTTGTACAAGAAGGACGAGTTGTTCCAGCATGTTGTACAGGGTGTAAGTACTAAGAAGTTACCTTATCTTGAATGTTCAGTAGTCGCGGTCAGCAAGTCAGCACCGCCTAACTTCCTAGATACTGACAATATTGTTTGATGATGCCTTGTTATTGTCTTATGCCTTCTTTCATGTTACTTTCTATGGTTGTGCCGTAGATATTGAATAGTTTCATTATTTATTCTTTGTTTGTTTGGCGCGAGCGTGGGACAGTGCCTTTGGGTGCCATCGACTCGCTGTGCTTCGGTGCCAAATCTACGAATCTGGCAGTTCTATTGATTTCACTCACAAGCGGGGGCTTATGACATTCTCGTTAAGTATGCGAGCTTACTGACATTTTAACTCATCAGCAACCAGGAAAAGGTTTGTAATTCTCGTGAAGCGCTTTAATGAGAGAGAGACTAGGAAATAAGATGCTGGTGAGTGTTGTGTATTTACTGATAAAGTGAGAGGCGGCAACGTGGCCTCGTGGCGGAGTCAATACGGGTGTGTGCGCGGGAGGTTCAGTGGGAGACGAACCCGCGGTAGGGAGGGAGTTTGTTGCGCCTGCTCCAGAACTGCCCACATCCCCCCCTCCCCCACGATCTCTGCTTTCCAACAAGCCTAAACTGCTCTGGGATTAAGATGGGCAAGGCATAATGAGCAGCTATCACCTACGGGATCAGCAGGAGGCCCCACAGGCGGCTGCTCCTGGGCGCCCACAGCGGAACTCTCTGTGAGGGGTGCCAGCCAGCCTCCTGCCACCTAATGACGTAGTCCACCAAGCCAACAAATATTTTTTAATGAGCAATGTGCCAATAACTACGTCTAGGACAAGAGTCTATGGAAAGTTGTTGGTGGAGGTGGAGCGGAAGTGTGTGGAGAAGGTAATAGTTGTGTGCACCCGCCCAAACATTACAGACGACTGGTGTTGTGATCTGGGAACCCATGAAGTTATCGTAAAGACGGGAGTTTATACAGTGTTCCAGGACATATCATGCTAGTGTACATACCGGTGAGTAGCCAAACTCTTTGACTTGTATAAACCCATTTATCCCCTCTGCTGAAGCTTTATTTTAATGCTACTATAGCTTTTATGTTGTTAGGTGTTGCCATACAGCGGGTGAATGGTGGTGTTACTGTCAGTTTGTTGCCTCCCGTCTCTGAACCCCGTAAGGACGGAGGGACGGCACTAGGGAGTGTAAGGCAGCTTGCTGAGCTACAGTCACGTACACAGCCGTGGTTAGATTGGCTGCTTTGGTTTGCATAACACGGTCACCCTTGTCAGCAACACCAGACCCTGCTGCTAGATTTCTCATCTTCGTTATGGTCTCTGCTCCTCTGTTGTTGGTGGGAACAAAAAGCTAGACAGGAGAATGGGCAAAGGGTCGAGGCCACTCCTAAGATCTGTCGGATACAGTGGCCCCAGATTTACTGTACTGACGCCATAATGCAGGACAATAGAAGTGTCTGTTGGCACATAAACAGCGATATATAATCATATTGAACACAATCTGAAGAAGGTATATAAACAGATAAGTGTGTCACTGTATAAACAGTTAGCTTTAATTTCGATTTTAGGTATTAAAGTATTCATGACTGGTGAGGGTACAGGTGGCATGAATCCTTAATTACTTAATAACCCAACTAACTAATAAACTTAAACAGGTTATAGATGGGGATGTTATTCTGTAGCTTGTGAGTGTTGGTAGGGTGGGTGTAGGCTGTAGAACAGGCCAGGGGAAAAAGAACCACAGATTCTTGACTCAAGGGTGATAATTGTAGCCATGCTCTCGAAGGGCTCAAGGAACTAGGGATAAACGAGGAAAATTGACAAAAATAAAACCGATTTCATTCAAGGCAAACAAAATAGTATTTGGTATAAGTAAAAAAGCAAAAGTAATGAAAGACTGGAAGACAATAAAGATAATTGGCAAGTGTGTCACGAAGAAAGATTATCGTCATGATAATTGGTAAGTTACTTATGACGAACGTAACACATTAAAAATTTATATTAAAGTTCTAGATAAGAAAATACTAATATAATGTTTCAGCCAGTAAATGGGATACTAGAGAAGATATATTTTAAGCAGCTGCTAGGATAATAACGTTTATAATCACTGTCAGCTTGGCCTTCATGAGTTGTGATTCATTGTAAAGGCTGAAGAAACCACTTGCAACATAGTTGTTAGGTACACCATCTGTTCTGCCGACTCAACCTAGTAGCCATAAATACAATGATGGTTCAGGTATGATAGTGAATATTCCACACGGGTTTAGTGCTTATTGTATATATAATGATTATATTACTCGAATATTATCGAGCATGTCCACGGCAGCAGCAGTGAACGGACATGTGTTGTGACTTTATTGCAACAGTTGGACATTAAATAATGTTTATGCAAAGAGGATATTTTGGAGAGGGAATCCAGGAAAAAGTCACAGGAAAAAATAGTTGCAGAAAGTCACAGAAAAAAGTTTAAACTGACATAACCTGTTTATGGTATTTAAATAAAATTTAAATATTTCCAGTGATTTCCTTCCTAGCCAAAATTTTAATTATTTTTCTGTGACTTTCCAGTGACTATTTCCGTTCACACGAGAGGAAGACAAAAATGGAAGACTAGTAGACCTATTGGCCCATGTTAGGCCAGTCTTACACTCCCACCCACTCATTTTCAATCACGTAGTCAAACAGTTAAACTACCCAGAGTATTTACTACAACGGGGCTATTTAGCAGTTTACCACACATCTACAGTTATTGTTGAACTAGTGCATTTCCTAAAATATTTTTCTTTTTTTTTTTTTGAGAATGAAAGAGCTTAGAGACTGGAATTGGGGACAAAGCAAGGAATGATGACAGTGACTAGGCTGATGGATGTAGCCCTCTTCAGTAGAGTAAGCAGTAGTGTGTGTGGGGGGGGGGGTGAACGGGGTTGGAGTAAGCCTATTTCTGGAACAAAGAACAGTGCAGTTGAAGGCAGTGAAGCAAGACAAAGACTAGTTTCAGTTCTGCGAGGCAAACCTAACCTGTAATAGAGAGCATAAAAACAAGGTAAAATTTTCTGCGTGCAGCCTGACAATTCCCAGATCTTGATAGTTGCCGTGGCGTTGCCAGGGAACAGAGGAAACGGAAATACAAAAATAAGTATTATAATACAGTGAAAGGAAAAATAAAATGATTTGGAAATAGGAAAGATACCAGTAAGTAAGAGTAAGGGAGGGGTGCCTAGGAACAGTAAAAAATATAAATAGACCTCGCCAGAGTAGGGCTAATAATAATCTAGTGTTGTATGTGCTGATACATTAAATTCATTACGCAACTTGAGCATTGAAATGTGTTTAGCACACCCATAAAAAAAAAAACACTGGAAGAAATGGAAGGTGATAAACACGACAGTAACATAGGAACAAGCTGAGGACGGTCAGGGAGAGCAGGTAGGTTTGGGAACAATCGCAGCGACCGCCAACTTGAGCCCCTCCTCTCCAAGGTTGGACCACGCTGCTGCCCGTCGCCCATTTTGAGTATTTTTAACTATCATGCTAGTATCCGTTGCTTGTTTGTTTACCCCTGGTCACGAATGATGAAGTGGTTTGTCGGTTTGGTATTAGTGTGTTAAAGCTTGTGTTAAAAAGTATTGCTGAATCGAGAATTAAATGTACTTAGCATGCACCTAGTCTACCAAGATTCCATTGGACTTTGTTTACACCGTGCGCTGCCGGAGGCCGGGTATACATGTTATCTTACTTTGTCAACAAAAAATAGATATTAACAATAGTTTTTAAACGTTATTGAAACCAGTTGAAAATAGCATTGCAAAATGCGAAATATATAGTAGCATATTAAAGAATAGTGTTTGAGGTACTGGGGAGTAGTGGAAAGTGTCCTTCAGTTGTGATGATAGACGGTAGCAGTGGTGGCAGACGCATGAGTCAACGGGGAGGTACTGCAAGCAGGTGCTCAGGTGTACACGGGGTGGTCACTGGGTGAGTAACACCACGTGTTGTACTACTGCTGAGGTGTACATGGGATGATCCATAGAAGTAACACCGTGTTTTACTACTGCTGAGATATTCACGGGGTCACTGGATGGAACATCGTGTTGTACTACTGCTGAGGTGTACACAGGATGGTCACTGGGCGAGTAACACCACGTGTTGTACTACTGCTGAGGTGTATACGGGATAATCACTGGATGTAACACCGTGTTGTACTACTGCTGACGTGTACATGGGGTGGTCACTGGTTGAATTGTACTACTGAGATGTACACGGAGTGGTCACTGGTTGGACTGTACTACTGCTGACTTGTACACAGGGTGGTCACTGGTTGAATTGTACTGCTGGTGACGTGTACACGGAGTGGTCACTGGATGAGTAATCTTAGGTGCAGTACAACAGAATCAAGGCTACTGCTGTCGTTGGCATTGCTGCCGTAATGTACATAGTGTGCCTTTGCTTCACAATGAATAAATTCAAACCCCTGGCTGTCTTCAAGAGGGAGCTAGACAGATACTTAGTCAGTGCTAGATCAGCGGGCTGTGGTTCGTACGTTGGACTACGAGCAGCCAGCAGTAATAGCCTGGTTGATCAGGTCCTGATCCACCGGGAGGCCTGGTCATGGACCGGGCCGCGGGGGCGTTGATCCCCGGAATACCCTCCAGGTAGCCACATTTACTGTTATAACATGAGCTCTTCAGAAGACTCCCTATCCTCATTTACAGAGAGTCGGTGAGGGAAGCTTGCTATCCTCTTTCGCTGTCCTCCAAAAACAGTGCTACAGCACCAGCTGCCCTGCATACCATCTAAAAGGGAGCAGGAGGTACAGACTTCACAAGACAAACAATAGTAGTTACGACAACCCCACTCTAAGTGATTTTTTAGTGGCTGGAAACGAAAAAAGAAAATGGAAGGAAATAAAAATAGTCCACATTGGAGCCTTGTTGGACTGGAGTCACAACCAGTCCCCCCCCCCATCCTCAATGGCCCTCCAGAACCACAACTACTGATGCCAATAATAAAATCCCCTCAACAAACACAAAATACAACCTCGTTTATATTTGTTAATATACAGGGCCTTAAGCCGTCCACCAACAACAAAATACCTTTCATCAGTGGACTTCTAGAGGAGTCAAATGCGATGTTTGCAGCCTTCACAGAGACCTGCACAGAAGATCACTTTGACAACGAAATATGGATAAATGGGTACAGCTTTTTTTAGATGTGACAGAAAGAACAGGCAACAAGGGGAAGTTGGCCTGTATGTCAAAGAGTCGCTAATCTGCACAGAGACGCTGAACACCATTATTGAAGTAGTTGAAGTTCTAACAATAACAGTCGAGAACCAAAACCTGGTTGTATATAAACCACCAGATGCAACCTCTAAACAGTTCAAGGAACAGCTACTGAAAATTGATTACTGTCTGGAAAGCCTTCCATTCCCATCTCCAAACATTTTACTGCTTAGTGATTTCAACCTAAGGCATACAAAATAGAAGAATGTAGCAAATAATGTTACAGAAGAAACATCCCTGGAGGCAGCGCAAATGAAAGGTCACACACATGAGCTACTAAATCTCTGCGATAAACACACCCTAAGTCAGGATATAGTGGAGCCAACAAGACTGGAAAACACACTTGGCCTTATCTTCACAAATAATGAGGACCTGTTAAGAGACATAACAGTATAAAAAAAACTAATTGCGATTACAATCTAATCGAAGTTCAGACTTACATGCATAGGAGTCCTGATCAGCAAAATGCACGTAGCTGTGAAGGTGTCTTCACCAAATACAACTTCAACAACAAGAATATCAACTGGGGCGAGGTGAACCATGTCTTAAATGAAACATGTTGGAAAGATATCTTAAGTAACATGGATCCAAACCAGTGCCTTGAGAAAATCAACTTCCTGGCAGGTGAAGTATGTTCAATGCATATTCCTCTAAGAAGAAGAGAAGAAGTAAACTGGAGAGAGAGAGACGCTTCCTCTACAGAAGACGACGAAGAATCAC